GTTCCCAGGTTTATTCCCAAGGTCCATGCTAGCTAGAACTATTTACTCCTTCTCTGTTTGTACCTGAATATAGTGAAATTGATTCAAGCGAATTCCTTCCTTGCTGGAATTTCCTTTCTACGCGGTGCGACGGCGGAATGCTACCCGAGTCAACGCTAGTACGCTAGCACTCCAACGCTAGGCTAACGCTGTCCGAGCCATAACTTCATAATGGCAGAACTTTTCGAGAGGCAACTTGGCATATTTTAAAGCTCTTAGAGTGAACTTCAATATAGGAAATTCTCAGCTTAATCCGATCGACGGTCTGCACGATACGCTGCGCGACGTTCAAGGTACTCTTGCTGTTTTGACTTAGTCCCTCTTGATCCCTCTCTCTACAAACTCGGACCCGAGGATAGGGGCTGGTCTTGTACCAGGTACCCAAGGACCCTTGGAGGTGACCCCGAGGAGAGGTTTTAAGTTTGAATAAGTCTTAATAGCTTGAGTTTATTAGGCCCTTACACCAACAGTCTGGGTCCAGCAGGGTCTTGTGTCGTGGAGATTTTATTTCGCTCGGCGATTTTCCCTGGTAGAGTCCGTTCGTGGGTTGAAGAATTCAGTCCACGATCCTCCAATGTTCGCATTAATTTTGCTCCACTGCTGCGGTCCCTAAGCGTTGAACGTGCAGTTCTCATTTCGTCACAATCGATAGCTCGATGTTCGGGCTTCTCGCAGAAAGAAGACTTAGATTTGTTCTTCTTTGGTCTTGCCTTCGCGTCGATTCGATCGAGTTCCATTGGGTCGGCGCACGTGGGGGTAGCCAAGCGTCCTCCATGTCGTCTAGCTCGTCCATGAAGTCGTTGTGTTCCGATCGTGGTTACGTCGAAACACTCTGCTGCCGAAACGACGTCGTTGTAGCTGCTCCAATTTGCGGCCGATAAGTTGCAAATGTCGTCGCTGTATCGCAAACGTTTTCGCCAACAATTGAACTCACTATCCTGTTCAATAAACGCGCGAGGGGGGTATTTAAAAAAACGCGGAATCTGGTGCTTACCAGAGTCGGCGCTGAATTCGTCGCCCCTGGCGGTTTTTCGAAGCAGGAATTTCTTAAGCGCGCTGCTTAGTTGAAACTCCGCGAATGAAAACGGCTCTGATTACCATGTGTCACAGGATCAAATTTCCACTCGAGAATGTTGCACTAAAGGTGAATACAAGGCGGATTTATGCTCAGAACTACATAGAAACAACAGATAATCCGAACCTTCGGGAACGCGCTCTTCTAGAATAGATATCACAAGTGCGCTTAAGCACGCAAGCCCATTGGCACTTCGGATTATAGCAAGATTACGCCTTGTACACCACTGTCGGTGCTGTCGGTGTCGTATAATGTAAATGTCGGTGCCGAAAATACCAAATAAGTGAAATAATTGGAAATCTCTAGAAAATAGAATAGTAGTCCGATTGAGGTGAAATAAAGTGCAAATGAAAGAGGAAAATAAGGAGAATAAAATGGACTAAAAATATGGAAATGAGAAATATGTCGAACCTCGGCGTACTTTCACAGCGACACAATCAGATGGTTGAACAGTTACTGTGCACAGCTTGCAAAGACGACGTTAGCCACTGGGACACACAGTTACCGGCCCTAGAGTTCGCTTACAACAACGCATCACATGCGGCCACAGGGAAAACTCCTTTCTTCCTCTGTTACGGACGGGAACCAGTTACACCACAGCAGCCAATCACACCGGCACAAGTCCAAGCCGCACATGACTTCGTCACAACCATGCAGCAGCTATAGGAGAAGACTCAGGACGCGTCACATTTGAAAAACCGAGGAAGGATCGGGGATTTTCACCACATCGGTGTGCCATGACTGTATTTTTGCAATCGCGGGCCCAGCGCAAGTCCCAAGTGACACGATTGAAAAATCATGGTGCAAAATTGCCCGATGTGGACGAAATTGCACGATCGATTTGTAACAAGGGCACATCGTTCGCTCGACTCCGAGAGGACAACTGTACAATGGCGACGGATGACGAAGAATGGTAACCAGCACTTAACGACGTCGTGAATGCGAAACACCGATCTTGTGCAGGATCAATGTTTCACTTGTGACGCGTCTTCAGCGACGCCTCATCACGATGCAGAACTTCTAGAAGCAAGATGCCGATCGCCAGCGACGTAATCACTCAGTAGCAGACGGAGATCAGGTGCTTCTCGACACGCGCAACTTGAACCTGTCTCACCTACCATCCAAGCTCCGATCTCGCTTCTGTGGTCCTTTTCTCGTTGAGGCACATATCACACCAGTTACATTCTGCTTGCGCTTACCAGATACATGGAAGCTTCACAACGCTTTCCATGTCCAGCTACTGAAACCCTACAAGGACCCCAACCAACAGTTCTAGGGACGGCATAGATATGCTTGGTTTCCTAGACTAGGTGCTTTCCTAAAATTTATTATAGTTATAGCACCGAACCAGGTTACGTGTACCATACTCAAGCCTATTCGGTTTCCACCGAATTGCTTTCTACCGAGTTCGAGAAGGTTCTGTTCGGGATGCTTTGCGACCCTCATAACATTTGCGTAACACTTGGGTTACCTGCCTTGCGTCGAGCCTACATATAGCCTCGTCTTGTACTCAGATGAAGCATTCAATTCAAACTCTTTTTCTTGTGCTTGATTCTAAATCCTCACATTATAGAAGCGTACTCTTTTTCAGTACCTCATTAGCTCATATAGAGCACGCGGCAGACAGAAAGTCACCCAAAGGTCAACAGTCACAGGGAGTCAACAGTTGTGACCGTTGACCGTCCAGCAACCGTATCGGAGGTTAGCGATGCAACCAGGTAACTGTCGAGAATGGCAATTGTCGTAGTTGCAGTAGCTATAGAATTTTATTGATATAAGAATGTACAGGGCCTCAGATTCGTTTTGGGCCACGCTTTGTCATCAGTGTTGGTCCTTGGAAAAAAACTTTCTATCAGGGTCCCTTGGAAAAAATTTCCCTGAAAAATCCGTATGGTCAGGAAAAAAAATCTACTGGATAAGTCGAGTACTACTAATGTACAGCCTCCACTGGCCCAGTAAGTAGAATTGGGACTTGTGAATAATGGGTTTTGTCAGAATCCCAACCACTAGACCATTGGGATAAAAGGGCTTGTTAAGTAGCAGGTCAGTGCGCTCATAACCCCCCAGGTGAACGCGCCTGTAACCCTCTCCAAGATCAATCAGGCATCCACAGTGCAGATCTACTGACACCCCCCCACACTGGGAGGCCCAGGACTAAGCACAGCGGCACCTGCCTACATGTGCATACACCGGGAATTGAACCCGAGACCGCTCTGATACCATGTCAGAATCCCAATCACTAGACCATTGGGATAAAAGGGCTTGTTTCAGTAGCGGGTCAGTGCACCCATAACCCCCCAGACGAACGCGCCTGTAACCCTCTCCAGGATCAATCGGGCATCCACAGTGCAGATCTACTGACAGGTTTCGTGTTCGAATCTGGTCGCCTTGTTCTGTTGTCTTCCTTCTGTCGGTGGAGAATGATGACGAAGATTTTGCCAGATTTAATGAATAAGCAATTTCGTGAACAAGTATAATCTTGCTACATTGAAATTCGAATCAGGGCCCCCTTGTAAAAGTTGGCTGAAATTTCAGGCCCCCTTGTACAAGGAAGTTAGCTAAAAAAGCAGTGTGCGGATAAAACTTTGAACTTTTTCAATCAGCCTCGGAGCCTAAAAAAACACTGAAATCAGTGTTCAAACCCAAAATCTGAGTAAATTTTGTGCAATCTGAGGCCCTGGAATGTACCTCTCAGAGAACCCATAAACACCCCCTCCAGTTGTAGACCGACGGGTCTAAAATACGAGAGGGGGGGGAGGGGGTACTCTATTTGATCCGTTTTAGTTATAACCCCCCTTTTTTAGTGCAATCATTATAAGAACCCCCCATCCTTATGAAGAATGTAGCATTTGCCATTTTTTGTATTGAAATCAAAGCAATTTCAGAAAGAGCAAAATTTCTCCCCTTCCGATGACTGCGCGTGGGTATCGCGGAGTCTGTCAGAACCATATTGTAGGCTGTAGTGGGGTTGACAATATGGGGTACAACTCTTTTACGTTTTCATATTTGAACCCACCTGCTTCCTAGTTGATCCCATTCCTCGTACTTTTCTCACATGGTATAAAGCAGGTTCTCTAGTGGGACCGTTTTTTTTTTAAGGGCCCATCACTGTAAAAAACTTTCTGCCCTGCTCGAAGCGCGCCTCGGGCTCTGCTCTACTGCCGCCCTTAGCGGCCTGCCCTGCCGTTGTGGCCCTTAGTGGCCTGCCCTGCCTTCGCGGCCCTTAGCGGCCCGCGATACCGTCGCGGCCCTTAGCGGCCCTCCCTGTCGCCTTTAGCGGCCCGCCCTGCTGCCCTTACCGGCCCGTCGCCGCCCTGCCGCGAACCGCCCTGCCGCCCTTACGCGGCCCACCCGTCCCTTCGTCACGGCCCTGCGCGGCCCGCCTGCCCGTCGTCGCGGCCCTCCCCGGCCCGCCCGCCTCGTCGCCGCGGTCCCTTCCACCGCAGCAGCCGTCGCCTCTGCTGCCGCCATTGCCCGTGCAGCAGCCGTCGCCCCTGCTGCCGCCGTCGGGCCTGCAGCCGCCGGTGCGACCCCCACTGGAGTCGCCGCTGCAGCCCCGCCGTTACGGCCCTGCCCTACCGCCCTGCCGCGGCCCTGACCTGCCGCCCTGCCGCGGCCCTAACCTGCCGCCCTGCCGTGGCCCTGACCTGCCGCCGAGTCGTGGCCTTGCCCTGCCGCCTTGTCGCGGTCCCTGCCCATCCAGCGCACCACGGCCGTGCCCCACCAGTCGCGGCCTCTTCCCTCCCGCCACTGGTAAGCGCACTACCGCATCCGCGCCGCCTTGCCGAGCCGCGCCGCCCTTGAGAGTCATGCCGCCCTGCCGAGTCGCGCTACTACTGCCGCTGATAGGCTACTGCTGCTGCTCCTGCAGTCATGGCTAGCCTTAATGTCCTTACCTTCGATGATGAGGGTCGAGCGGTCGATTTTGAGGTCTCGGTCGATGACCTGCAAATACTTCTGCAGAGCGATAACGAAGACGGAGTCTCGCTTTTTGATCTCGCGTCTGGCACCTCTGCTGCACCTGCTGCCAACGCTGACAGTGCTGTTCGCTCGCAGTGGACCACGCACGATGCTGCTGCCCGTCTTGCTATTCGCAGTCCCCTGCCGTCTGCTGAGCGCACGCACTTTAGCCAGTACAAGACCGCTATGACTCTGTATGACGCTATTGTTGCGCGCTACTCCTCCCCTGCCACTGCTGCCCTTAGTCGCCTCATGCTGCCGTACCTATTCTCTGACCTAGCTGCTTTTGCCACAGTCGCTGACCTCATTACGCACCTCCGCACTAGTGACACCCGCTACCGCGCTGCGCTTCCTGCCAAGTTCTGCGCCAAGAACCCCCCCCCCCCCCCTATATACATCACTCTCTACTACCTCGTCACCCGGCTCCCTGACTCGCTTCGCTCGGTCAAAGACCACTTCCTCTCCCTTTGCCCCACCACGCTCACCGTTGACCTCCTCGAAGAGCACCTCCTTGCAGCAGAGAAGAGTATAGTTGCTGTAGGAGCCTCTCGTGGTGACTCTCGTGCCCCTTTCTTTGAGGGGTGCTCCCCGTCCCTCTTTTGCCCTCTGTTCCGTCTGCTGCTGCTGTCGACCTCGTTAGCACCGAGTCGGTTGGCGCTGCGTCTGCTCCCAGTGGGAGGCACCGCAGCGGCAGGAGCAAGAGGGGCAAGACTGCTGGAGGGGATGGCGGGGGCGGCGGTGGTGGCGGTGGAGGCGGCGGAGGGGGTGGCGGTTTAGGTGGGGGTGGTGGCGGGAGTGGGGGCTTTGGTAGCGGTGGTGGAGGAGGAGGCGGCGCAGGCAGCGGCAGTGGGGGTGGAGGTGGCGGAGGCGGCGGCAGCGGTGGGGGTGGCGGCGGCGATGGTGCTGGTTGGGGTGGCACTGGGCAGCGGGGAGGCTTTGGCAGTGGTCAGCGCCAGCAGCAGCAGCGCCCTCCTGAGACCCTGTCGCCCCAGCAGCTTCGTAAGTGGTATGTGTTGGTGTAAGGGCCTAATAAACTCAAGCTATTAAGACTTTATCACACTTAAAACCTCTCCTAGGGGTCACCTCCAAGGGTCCTTGGGTGCCTGGTACAAGACCAGCCCCTATCCTCGGGTCCGAGTTTGTAGAGAGAGGGATCAAGAGAAACTTAGTCAAAACAGCAAGAGTACCTTGAACGTCGCGCAGCGTATCGTGCAGACCGCAAATTGGATTAAGCTGAGAATTTCCTAAATCGAAGCTCACTCTAAGAGCTTTAAAATAAGCCAAGTTGCCTCGCGAAAAGTTCTGCCATTACGAAGTTATGGCTCGGACAGCGTTAGCCTAGCGTTGGAGTGCTAGCGTACTAGCGTTGACTCGGGTAGCATTCCGCCGTCGCACCGCGTAGAAACGAAATTCCAGGAAGGGAGGAATTCGCTTGAATCAATTTCACTATATTCAGGTACAAACAGAGAAGGAATAAATAGCTCTAGCTAGCAAAGACCTTGGGAATCAACCTGGGAACAACCAGGGATGATCCCAAATAATTCCAAGCAACAGAACCAACCTGGCTGGACAAAATAGCAGGTGGTAGGTTGGTGAACAACCTCTGGTTCTGTTTTTCCAACCTGGGAAAACAACAACCAGGTTCAGGTCCTAAAAACAGAACCTGTTTTGTCTTTGCCCAACCAGCCAAATGCTGGTTCCGCTGGTTTCCCCTGGCCCTGTAGCATGCAGATACAGACAAACAACATCCAACCTTCACCTAAATTGTACCTGTATAGTGCCTGCCCTGCTACACTATAGTCAACCAAACAAAACAGTACAATTTCGAGTTGGATAGAACTGAATCTGCGCAATCAAGTAAGCCGAACCACAAAGCTTCCATCTTGGGTTCCTTTGCGAGCTCGTCCTTTCTGCTTGTACTGTTCATAGCGCGTACAATGTTATGCCGAAGCGCACATTGTGCGAGTACCTGCAAATGCTTCAAGCGAGAATTGCGAAAGCAAACAAACACACGAACATACCATTCACACGCAAATGCATTCGCACACGCATACTCGTACAAACAGACGGCAGGATGTCGTGCAATGTGAATTTGCACCCAACACACTCCCCCTCAGCCTGCCGGCTGCATCTCCATCATTCCATACTAGTTCATGCTCATTCCACTCATGCGCACACAACGCCAATGAGGCTCGTCCGCAAGCCTCTTGGTGAGGAAGTCTGCTGGCTGCTGGTGACTCTTGATGTAGATCGGATTCACCGTCCCCCTCTTCACCTCCTTACGCAACCAGTGCCACTTGATACGCATGTGCTTGATCAGCCAATGAAGCACAGCGTTCCTGGCCATCCCAAGAGCTCCCTTGCTATCACAAAACAGCGGCGTAGCAACCTTTTGCTCCTGGCCAATCTCCTCTAACAGTCTCCTCAGCCAAATCACCTCCTTCACCCCATAGAACATCACCATGTACTCTGATTCCACAGAAGAGAGTGCTGTCTCCGTCTGCTTTTTTGACCTCCAACTAACCGGTCCTCCCCCAACTACGCAGATGTATCCTCCCACAGATGAGGAATCCTCCTTCTCAGAGGCCCACGTAGCATCGGTAAAGCAAGTGAGAAAGAGCTTGCGTTCTCGAAACCTCTCCCTTTTCTCTTTCAGCACCTCAACCCCTTTCTGCTTCACTTGTGCAGATGCGGAGTATTGAACTCCAATGCTTGGGTGAGAGTTCAGATACTTCACCCCACGCTCAGCTGCATCCACCTGCTCCTCTGATGGATTCTGCACCACCCTAGCCAGCTGCCCAACCGAGAAAGAGATGTCGGGCCTCGTGTGAACTGCTGCATACAAGAGGCTGCCCACCAAGGACTGAAATTGCTGCTGCTCCTCGGCTTCAACCCCTTCATCCTCTGCAGCTTTCACAAGCTTGAATTCTGCTGGCAGGGGAGTTGCAACCTTGCGCTCATTCTCAATTCCGTACTTCTCCCCAAGCTCCTTGATGAACTTCTCCTGGTGCAGCTTCAACCACCTGTGATCCAGATCCCTCTCCACGTGCATCCCGAGGTAGTACTTTACCTCCCCAAGTTTCTTGCACTTGAAGTTCTCCATCAGCTGCTGCTGCACCTTCTGGATCTCCTTCATGCTGCTGCTAAAGAGAAGAATGTCGTCCACATAGACCAGAAACAGCACCAGCTTCTCCCCCTCTCCCTTGAGAAAGAGGCTCTCATCACAGCTGCTGGTCCTGAATCCCATCTCCTCTAAAACAGCTGCCAACTTCTGGTACCAGCAGCGTGGCGCCTGCTTCAAGCCGTAGATGGACTTTTTCAGCTTGCACACCCTGCCCGTACCATCCTCATACCCAGGTGGCTGCGTCATGAACACCTCCTCTAAAATCCCATTGAGAAATGCCGTTGATATGTCCATCTGGATAATGAACTTCCCACTAACGGCTGCATCTGCCAACATGACACGAAGGGTAGGGGGTTTGGCAGTGGGAGCAAAGATCTCATTGAAGTCCCGCTTCTCCTTCTGCATAAACCCCTTAGCCACCAACCTACTCTTGTAGATGGTGACCTGCCCCTTGTCGTCAGTCTTGATCCTTAGCACCCACTTGCATTGTACCGCTTTCTTTCCCTCAGGCAGCACCACTAGTTCCCAAGTCCCATTCTCCAGCAGGCTCTGGTACTCAGCATCCCTAGAAGCTAGCCATTTGTCCCTATCTGGTCCAGGTAATGCCTTCTCCATGCTAGCTGGTTCCTCTGGTGCAGGGGCAAGAAAACAGTAGGCAGGTTCATCCTCCTCATCCGGGTCATAGCCATGCGGTAGAATCAGCAATGCCTCCTCAGTCCCAAGCTGCTGCTCCGCTACATCAGCTCCTGCAGTCAGCTTCTTAGTAGCCATACGGGTACGTCCTGGCCTGGAGACGGGTGTCTCCCATCCCTTCATAACGACACCCTTCGGCTTCTTAGTTTTTCCCTGCTGCTGCTCTCCTCCCTCGGATCCAGCAGTTCCACTAGTGCTACCGCTAGTCTCCACACCATCACCTCCACCAGCAGGTGCCTCCTGCACCTTCTCTTTATCACCACCCTCTGCAGCTGCCTCCTCTCCCTCCTCCCACACACTACGAGTCAGGTCCAGCTGCATGGTGATCTGCTCCATCTGCTGGGACACCCTGGCCTCCGGCTGTTTCTCCCAGCTCCCATACATCATGCCCTCAACAAACTTCACATCCCTGCTGTCAAACAACACACCCTTGGAAGGCTCCCACAGCATCCATCCCTTGCTCTCAACAGCCAGCCCCAAATGCACACACCAGATTGCACTCGCCCCCAACTTACTGCGGTAGGTCTTGGGGACGTGGGCGACTGCCATGCAACCGAACACCCTAAGCATGTCCACCGGCGGCTTCCTCCCAAGCCACCTCTCCAACGGCACCCACGAGTCATCCCCAACCTTTGTGAGTACCCTGTTTCTAGCGACGGTAGCGTGCCGAACAGCATGGGGCCACATCAAGTTGCCCAGCCCAGATTCTATGAGCAGCGCCCTAGCTGTCTCCAGAACTGTCCGGTTCGCTCGTTCTGCTACACCGTCGGACTGTGGGGTGTAAGCCGTGGTCAGCTCCCTCTGGATGCCCTGCTTCTTGAGCCAGGCCGTCATCTCAGCTCCAAGGAACTCACCACCCCGATCTGTCCTAATCCGCTTCACCACACACTCCGCTTGCTTCTCCACGAACGGCAGCCAATCGTCCCGAATCGTGGAGGCGGCGTGATCTTTCTGCTTCAGCGGATACGCCCACATTAGCCTGCTCCAGTCATCCACTATGGTTAGGAAGTACCGCTCCCCCTTGTGCCCTTGCACCGGCAGCGGCCCCACCAAGTCCATGTGGACCAGTTCCAACGGCTTTTTGCTCCTGCCAGCCACACTATGGAAGGGGAAATGGGTGAACTTTGAAAGGAGGCAAATTTCACAGTTATCATCGGGTGGTTGTCCGTTCAGCTTCAATCCCTTAACGGCTCCATCCTTCTCCAGCTGCTTCAGCAAAGGCATTGCCACATGCCCCAAACGTCGGTGTGCAGTTGCCCAATCTGTCTCCCCATATCTTGCCGACACTTTCACACCAACCCCTCCAACGGCGTTGCACTCCCCCTGGGATGCAGACCCCTCTCCAGCCTGCCCCTGACCGTGCCACGCCAGCGCCGGCAGCTGCCACATAGATCTGTACACGTCCTTGCTCTCGTGCAGATCCCAAAGCACCCGATTGCCCAGCTTCCCCTTATAAGTGCGTGCCCCATCCGTGCTAGTGCTCACCCCAGACTTGCCAAGCTTACGGAGGGAGATGAGGTTGGCCTTGAGTTCAGGAACAAGAAAAACGTCGTGCAGCACCACCGGCTTGCCATCCGCTCTCTTAAACGCAGCTCGTACCGCACCAGCCTCCTTCAGCGCGTGTCCAGAGGCGGAGCACACCTCGTTGATCGGAGCAGCTCGTACGTGGTCTAGCAGGTCCTTGCGCGGCGTCATTGTCCAAGCAGCGTCTGTGTCAAACACCCAATAATCCAGGGGGTGCAGCTCTGCTCGAGCCTTAGCAGATGCGTCTCCTTGCTCCCCCTTGTCGCCCACATGGAAGAATTGGCCCGCGGTGTGCTCCTTCTATTCCGCACCGCCGTTACCCTTCGGGTTGTTGTCGGACGAATCAGCGACCATGTTGGCGCCGTTTTTCTGGTTCCTCCGCACGCCGCCATCCTGGTGACGATTCTGGGGGGTCCATCCATCGGGTTTCTTATAG